ATCATCCAAATTTCTCTTCCTTCAAAGCTGAATTTGTTGATATGACAAAAAAATAATATATATATATATATTTTTTCTGAGACAAGATCTTGCTCTGTTGCCCAGGCTGGGGTGCAGTGGCACTATCTCAGCTCATTGCAACCTTCGCTTCCCAGGCTCAAGTGATTCTCCTGCCTCAGCCTCCTGAGTAGTAGGCGTTTGCCACCACGCCCAGCTAATTTTTGTCTTTTTCGTAGAGACAGGTTTTCACCATGTTGGCCAGGCTGGTCTTGAACTCCTGACTGTGTATATATATAAGATATATATTTTATATAATGAATATATTATATATATAATAATATATATATATATTATAATTTTTATAATTTTATTTTAAATTTATTTTTATTTTAATTTATTTTTTATTTTGATATATTTTATATATTATATTATGATCTTTTATATAGTTAAGATATTTTTATAATGTTATCGTATATTATATAGGGTTAACCTATACTTCATAAATTATATTCATATTATAATTAATTTTTAAAACAGAGTTCGTCGCTCTGTCACCCAGGCTGGGACTGTCAGTGGTGTGGACCTTGGCTCACTGCAAACCCCTGCCTTCCTGGGGGGTTTTTTCAACCCCCGATTCCTGTCCCAAAGACCTCCCCGATAAAGCTGGGGAAATTACAAGGTTGACACCGTGGGCTTAAATCCCCACAACTACCAATCCCACCCGGAAAAAACTAACATTGTTGTTTTTTTTTAGGTAAGATGGGCGGGTTTTTTTCCGCTCCATGTTTGTTCCAGGGGGCTGGTCCTCCCGAACTCTGAAACCTCCAAGCCAAATCCACCAGTTCAGCCTCAAATTTGCTGGGAAATTATCAGGTTGAGGCCCACCGAACCCTGCAACTCCCGCCCCAGGGCTCAAAAGCATCGCTCCCCCGGGCCCCCGCCCCAACCTCACCCTCTGCGCCCCACCAAACCACCACCTAATTTTTTGTAAAAATGTTTGTGATCCAGGGTTTTTCCATGTTGCTCGGCACTGGCTCCCGAACTATGACCCACCCCATCCCACCCTGCCCCTGTGGGGCCTCCAAAGTGGCCCCCTGTGGATATTAGGGAAGCCACCAACAACCTGCCCCCAACCAGCTTATTTAACTAAAAGCAAACCTCTAAACTGGTTCCTCCAATACAGGTCCCACTCGATTAACAAGGGTGTTTATTTAAGCCCCTCAACAAACCCTGAAAGTTTGGGGAGTTAAAAACAAGATTTCCAACTCAACAGGCCCCACGGCCTGGGGAAATCACTTTTCCACCTAGTCTCTCTGCTCGCCCTTCTTCCTTTGAAACCCAGCTCACCAGACATCCGTGGGGCCCTACCCCCCAAAGCACATTTGGTGAATCCATGGCCCCTGCCCCCATCCTCCTTTGCCCTGAAAAGGGCCTTCCCACCCCTTCTTTTACCGGACCCATTGGGTTGGATGTCATTTTTTTTTTTTTTTTGAATTGGGAAGTTCAACTCTTTGTTGCCCCCCCCAGGCCTGGGAAGGGTGCCAAAAATGGCCCAAACAAAATCCCGTGCTCCACCCTCACCTCTGGCCCTCCCCCAGGTTCACGAATTCCTACTCAGCCCCCTCGCCTCGAAAGTTAGCCCCCTGGGATTTAACAGCCCAAAAATGCCAACCACCCCCCAGCGCCTGGGCCTAATTTGTAAAATTTTAATAAGAGATGGGGTTCCCGTGTTTGGGTCCAAGACCCTGGTCTCGAACTCCCGACCGTCCAAGGTGAAATTCCCCTGCCCCCTGCCCCCTTCCCCAACCTCCCAGAAGGGCCGGGGGATATACAAGATTCACAGGCCAATGGAAGCCCCGCGCCCGGCTGGAAATTAGTCAAATTATTGTCAACTTGGCTTAGGGCACAGTCCATTATTCCCAATCCCCCAAAACCACAATTCTTAAGGCCCCATTGTGGTGCAGGTGGTTTGTTTACAGATGGGGGTGGGATCCCAAAGTCCAAAGCAGT